GGATAGACTCTGACTCTCCCACAACCTTGTATTGGAAGAAGTGGTTAGAAAATGGTTGGACACTGGCATGATGTAATGATATATCTTACAAATCTGTTACCTGCAAGCCTCTTATTCTGGTGAGGCTTTTGATAAGTTGGAACTGATGCTCGAAGCGTAGGCTACAAGAGAGCACTGGAAGCACACAATAAACCCAGAAGAAAGATATTACTACATCAACTCTTACGAGTTCAATATAACTGAAAATGTTTCAACCTCAAGTGAAATATACAGGCACACAATTTTGACAAGAACAATATTATTCCATTGTAAAGAAGTTAACTTACTGTAATGTCTTAATCACTCATCTTTAAAAGTGAAGTGTCTGTTTAAAAAGGTTTAGTAATGTGATAACCATATTGCCAACTTACCTTTATTTTATGGTAGATGAAGTTAGTTTCCTCCTATAAATGCTACAAAAACTAAGCATCCACAGTGCAAACTACTGATAGTTTGTCAATGAATGAAAAATAAATTCTAATTAATTATATTAATTTCTGTTCCTGGACATCTACAGATATAAGCTTTTAGTTAGTAGAATATTATGTGTAATTGAATTGCTTTATATGTATTGTTTAAAACTATAAAACTTTGTGCCGGGACAATTAACTGAACAGTCAATATACAGTAGCATTTGGCAAAAAGAGATAAAGCTATATATTACCATATATACATTTAGAAACAACAAATTAATAGATAAACTAACTTATTGTGGTCAGGAAAATGTACTGTACCATTTCTAACACTTCATTCATCTCATTAGGTACCATCATATTCAAAGTGAATATATCATATACTGTATACCTAATCAGCCTCTTTAGACAAGATATGCTTGAGGTGGAAAACTTAATTTTCCTCCTTCCTTAAATTCCTACTCTATTTTGTTTAACCAGCACTTTTGATATACTAAATAATTATATGATTCAAGGAGATATGCGAGTTTCAATGTGTAATAAAGTGTAGAATACTATGATCAGCAGTGCTTAGAAGTTGCATTTTAGATGGGTTGGTACAGTTTTATCCAAATTGTTTTTTGATCCTATTACAGTTGCAGTGAATTTCTACTTTAATTGGCTTTAGCTATATTCAGTCATCAGTCAGTGGCCTGCAGGATTCTATGTAGTAATTACTTAGTAAATACACAGGTATATTTTCAATTCTTTACATATTCAATTGTTATTCAATTGTAACTTAAATCAGGTCCAAGTTTGTTTCCTGAACCTCGCCTAAATCTAATTGGAACATTTGTCTCGATAGTTGCATGAAAGAGAACAAATTTAATAAAACACTTTAACTAGGAATCATCAGAAAGTGAAGTGTTATTTGATTTAATTGGAGATTTTATATTACAGAACAAAATGATGTTATTTTTGAATGGGTGACGAGTATACGTCTAATATGCTTTCAGGAAAAGTGTTCTGCCAGGTTTGTTGGTACATGAAGTAAGGCTACTAACAAAAACAGCATCCTCTTGTTTTGAGGCATCCAGTTTACCTTGAATTGGTTTGTCACCACTGGAAGATTAACTGGCAGAGATTAAAATGGTTTTAAATAAATTCTCCTCTAAGAAATGCAAGTCAAAGCCCCAACTGCAGCATTTGGCAGGGAAATTAAATTTTGCAGCTTCACTGGTCTATAGCAGGCATTTATTCTCCAGTACATCATTAATACTTTAAAATCCCTGGGCCAGAGCTCTGACGTAACTTGGCCTTCCCAAGAGTGTCAACCATGCATTGACTAGTGGCAGCCTTTAGTGATACAGTATGCTATAGTAGTAAATTATTTTGTACCGGACCATATTCCTTATTAAGGATTTACATGGAAGCTTTATTTGAAAATGTGGGAAATAAAAATTTGGAAGATGATTGACTGTTTTTGATGAAGCCCGCTTAAATGACATTCTGATAGATGACATACTGTATACTGTAGGTCAACCATACTACAGAATCGAAAGGTATGAAGTTTAAAACATAAAGAATTTAAGCAGGCTGTGTCCAGTACATAACCTAAGATGAAGGTCATCAAAACGAAATACTGCACAAGCAAAGCCCACGAAACAGACTTCAATGCTCACTCAAAGTGATTCAACAAGCTATTCCAATACCCAATGTTTCCTGATCTCCTGCCTGGCTCTCTAAACCTTTTTTTAATTCTAAATTTTGCATGAATTATTTTTTTTAAATATTTCATTAGTACTGTACAGTAGGTCAAACTTGTATCCTATTTTGATTTTCTTCCATACATTTCAAAATATTGGAAGTTTCAAAACACCATCTCACTTTATTGCACTCAATCTTGAATTCGTTCTGCTCCTGTATTTATCTCTTCCGTTCCTTTTGTGCCCCAAGGGCTCATTTTCTACATCCTTTCTCATGATCTGCTGTTTCTGCGTCTTCTTCGGTTGCCTGAAAGATCCCTTGAGGACCACAGCCATTGCCAGGCCTGGTTGTTTGCTTTTTAAATTTACTTGCCTGTTCAAGGTAATTAAAATGCACAGGGCTTATTTCTGATGTTTTAGGATAGTTTCTCTCACGTTTCAGTTCTGTCATGGTGACAGACACCTTATAAGTGGGTAGTTGCTGTGAACACTAAACAACTTTAGCCCTGACCTGACCTGGGGATCTCCAACCAGCATAACTACAGTAGACGTGAACTTGAGTATCATGGGGACACTCAGCATGTAACTGCACAAGCCATCTGTGTTTAAGCCTGGATACTGGCCCATCTTGGCTAAAAGGGCAGAATGTTAAATGGTTCCTATACTGTATGTCATGAGTCATGATCCCTGTTGGTATAACTAGAATACCTTCTAGCCCAGGTTTCTTCTTTTACCTTAGGAAACTTTAATAATCTAACTGTTTTTCAGCCCTTTAAATAATTTTGACTTTTTTTGGTGAAGCTTATTGTAAATGTGAATATGTAAAATGTAAATGTAAATGAAAATGTACATTTGAATAATTGCTTTGGAAGGAAACAATTTTAAAATTATATTTTTGGCCTAGGTACTTTCTGAAAAGTGCAAATTTATTGTACATAAGAAACCTTTTTCAATATTTATGGTACAAGAATGCCTTTAATTCTAGAGGTTATGAAGGTTATGCTCTAAGCTTTTAAGGCATACTATTTAAGGCATACCTTATTGGTATGATCTATATTTATATAGATCATACCAATTTCTAACCCTTTTCAAACTCCCATTTTAGTCCAGACGTAACCTACAATTTTGTGGCCACTTGTGTGCATCTGTAGGTTGTCTTCCTTAAGTACTTCACTTTGATTGTATTAGTGTAGGGGTGCCCAAACATTTTAATGTAAGATTTACTTTCATTTTCCAGTCCAGCGCGATTTACCAGTGTGAATTTGAAGCTGTGATATAGGAAAAACAGACTGTGGACACATCAGTACAATAGCGATACCCATCACTAAAATTACAGCAAATAAAAGCAAGTGACTCATACTACAGTGAACAAGTATTGTTCCCCGTTTAAGAAAAAAAGAATGCTCGACATTCAGCTCATTCAGCAGTTCAGTCAAGTTTGTGAGGAATGCTAAATCCAGAAGCCAGTGGTCATCCTCTAATTGGGCATATTCACCATGTTAAGACGACTTGAGAAACTCTTTGATTTCAGGTAACAGCTGTCAAAAATGTTTGTTTTTGAAATCTCCAAACAGCAAGTCAGCAGCCTCAGGAAATGCTTTTTTTATTACTTCTCGATCCCTGAATTACTTTTTGTGTTTAGCAAGGACATGGCTCACACGGAACAATGCAATGATTGAAGCTTTCCTTCTTGTATTACTACTTCTAATACTAATTACGAATACTATTAGGCCTCGTGAAAACCGACTGCTGGTAGTTGAGATTTAAATTTTTCCACTTTTCTTTTCCCTAACTCACTTTTAGCGGGAAAGTCCACATCATACATTTTGTGTGCAGTTTTGAAATGTTGGACATTTCCCTTTTTCGTAGATGCTAGCATTGCAGATTTGAATGCAATAGTACAAAAAATAATAATGTAACACTCCGGGGTTCACATGGGTATGCGCCCTCACCTCTGCCGCCTCAGGTCAGCCCCCCACCGCTGGGGACTCAAACCCGGGCCTCTGGCGTCACTCAACAGGGACCCAATCACTTGAGCTAAAGGGAAATCTCCTGTCAGCCCGGTGGCTGCAGTCCCTGCTATTCACAGGGAAGGGCAGTGACGTCACCACGCTAGTAAGCTGGCTCGAACAACCAATGGTGGCCTTAGAGAGTTACACTCTCCCCCGCTTAATTCACCGTCCTCGGTGAAGGGCTATCCCACCCCACTCCTGACACCAATGTAATGCTCCGGGGTTCACGTGGGTATGCGCCCTCGACTCTGCCGCCTCAGGTCGGTCCCCACCACGCTCACATTCCTTGTGTTAACAGTAAGTTTTCGTCTCTTTGCTTCATCATTTTCGCTCAAACACTACAACTATCAAAAAGGCAATCAAACTTATCAAACTGTTGGCAAATTTTACATGGCCAGTCGGTTTCGCTCCAGCATGCGCTTTAGCGAATTTGGGGCTCATGCAGCAATAACCAAGAGAACATTCTTGGGTAGCACACACAACAATCTTTATTTACGGAGCTTCTGTAACTTTTTTATCCCCTGTGTCAGCCAGCACTCAGGGAAGAGACTTTTACAACCCATTCGACAAGAGTTCAACACACACAAAGGCAGTAAAATGTATGACATTACATGCACAGATCTGAATACATTTTTAGATTATCAAAAAAAAGTAAATAGTCAAATAGCCCATTTATTTTTTATTTATCTCTTGCGAGAGATTGACTGGTAGATCGCGATCGACTGGTTGGGCACCCCTGTATTAGTGGATAAGTAATGGGCATTATCTCTCTTTACCTGTTCATCATCTTCTCTGTCTTTTTCTGTTGTAAAAAATAAAATACAGAGGTATGAAGTACAATTTATTAAGCCAGACAATATGCACAGCAGTTCAGTAAATAATGATTTCCCTAGATAGTCTTTAAAGATTGTTTTTTGGTTGTGAGTTCAGACTTCATGAATTTTGATAAAGAAAACAAAACAAAATGGCTGTCTATCACACACGATCATGTTTCTGTTGGTGGTTAATAAAACGAATAGTGTCATGTTCATTTGTGCCTTGTCAGTTTCTCCAAGATAGCCTTAGTCCAGACGCACTGCGGTCTGTTTACTCCTCTGTAATGACATCTAGCTGTTTTTTGAAAATGAAGTAGCACTGATTCATTGCAGTAATAAAGGAAAAAGGTCTGTACATGGATGGATGGATCATGGATAAATGAGTAGGGAGAAATACAGATGTGGTAGATTCCATAAATATCTTTTGTTTACAGGCAGATTGATACAAAGAAGGCTTAAAGTATGATGCTGGTGTCTAGCTGTCTTTTACTTACAAAAAGTACCAACTTTAGGTTTAAAGACTTTTTGCACTCACTTTACCTTATACTGTATATCACTGGACAGGGCTCCTGGAAACAGGATCTGGTGATTTTATCATACATTACCATTTGTGTTCTACTGTAGCATTCAGATTTTGCAAACACAAAGATACGCTTATTTTGTACATTTGAAATTTGATTAGCATTTTAAAGGTTTAAGGGATTACCTTATAGCAGCCGTGTCAGGTTTTGTTGCATATGTAAGTAAACATGCTATGAGAGAATCCAAAGCAAGTTTTCTGCTCTTTGTACTGTATACAGTATATGATGCAAACAGTGATGTACTAATTGCAAAGAGGCATCAGTGGCTAAAATAATGCAGCTATAAAGCTAACTATTGAGTTTTTTTTTCTGAATTTCATCATCACTTAGTTGATGATGATTTGTTAATTGCTGTAAAAGTATTGAGAATAATGCTGTAAGCCTGTATGAATATGGTAGTACAGTATACATTTGGAACTTTCATGCATGTAGGTTAAAATCTTGAATTTATCCCTGTAGTCTGGTAAAGGGTTACGGTTACACTCAACATTTTCAGATTTATATGTAGTAAAGAGCATACTATGATATAAATATGGACTGGTGTGAATAATTTTCATAAAATTGTCATTTGTTTTACTTAGCTTAACAGTACTTTTACAATACATTGTCAAGTGAAAAATTTTTTTTGCATTTCTGGTCTGTAGCAGTTTTTGAAAGTACTGTGCATTTACGTGAACAGTTGAACTAGAGTTCAGTAAAGAAAAATGGCTCAGTGCACAGCCTTCCAAATAATAGCACAACTCTTCATTTAAATCTTTTTCATTGGCCCTCTACCTTGCAGATCCTGATGCCTGTTACCGTGCCTTACAGCTAAGCCCACAGAAACCTGCAGGGAGCATCTACCTTTTCAAAAGCTTTTTTTCCTGCCCCACTTTTGCAACTGACACTTTCTTGTCGTTTGCAGTGGTTGTGTTAACTGACATGCACAAAAACCTCAGAGCATGTGATGGGGTGGGGAGATGAAGAGATAAAAAAATCCCTAACTATAAAAGTAGCGAGAAGGATTTCACTTTCTATGGTTTCGATTTTGAATCCTCATAATAATTCTACACAGGAACTGACATCTTACTTTGCCCATGTTATCTGGAGGCCATTGATGGTATATATGTTTTTTATCTTTTATTTAGCTCATTGTGCATTGTGAAATGATCAGTTTAACTGATAAAGAGAAGTATGACTTATTTTTGTAAAAATGATTGATGTCATTAAGAACCTATAGTATCCCACAATCCTGTACTGTATATCATTTTTCCAAACTCCTTTCTTTGCAATATTCAGTGTATGCCAGGCTGTCAGTTCAGATTCAGAAAACAGGCACAAAAGCTGTGTCTTATCTAACCAGCATGAACTACTTAGTTTCTCATACTAAAAAAAGATAAAGTCACAGAACACAAAGTGATATACAAAGATTGTTCTGCTTCCATGATGTCTCATTCCCAGTCTCTTTTGATTGTCTGTGAAAGCACTTTGAACACCTGTGAAAAAAATCAAAGAAAAGTTAGTTTTAACTCTGGAAAAGAACTAATCTTTCAGAATTGTATGCTTGTGTGAATATCTCTATTTAGAATAGTAAGATACTACTCATCATAATACACTTCAGCTCTTAGATGGGTAAACATTGAAGAAATATGCTACATAGAATTGGAGCACAATGATTGCTTGTAATTTTAGATCCTAAAAGCAGTTTTTGTCACGATCGTAAACCCCTCCTCTTAAGGACACTCCAGTCCTTCCTTGTTCAGTACTCATCTCCTGCACCTGCCTCCAGTTCCTACCTATCGGGGCTCAGCTTTGGAAGATGGACGCCTGGAAGCCCACCTACCCACGAGTCCAGGAGCAACTCGATGGCATAGGCTTCATCGCAGCGCCCTGACCTACTGAGTCTGGGATTTGGGAGCGTCTGGTCCCGTTACCCCCTTTTATTCCCCCAACCCTCCACCAGATTCCACTCCAGCTTTTAACTCTGTTTGTCTGCCAGGATGGATAACCAGGTCTTGGACATTTGCTTCATTCATGGATTTGCCTCGGACTCCCTTGGACTGTTTGCCTAGGCCACACCTCCCCTGAACACCAGCGCACCATGGACACCCCCCTGTTTTCATTCCCGACTCCTGCATGCCTTTTTCTTGCACGTTTTCTTCACTCCCCCCGGATTGTGTTGTCTGCATAGGGTCCTGAAAGAACGCTTCGTGGCAGTTTTTTGCATGGCTATTGTTCACACAGCTCAGGTTATTTTTGTAGATTTTTAACTCTCCCTTCCTCCAAACTTCCCTTATGCGGGCATCACACATCATCATTTTCATAATCGCAAGAAAATCACAGCGAGCTGTAGAGAGCTGCAGCGTGTGCCCATTACCGTCAGTTGTGTAGTGTGACTCCCCCACTGATTCAGTCATAGCGCTCTTAACAGCCACTATGACTCTCTGCAACTCGCTACAAGAAAATCAGACTGATTTGTCATTCAATTTGACATGCTCTCCGACTAGAAGTCATGTCAAGTCATGTAGTGTGATGCTGGCTTTAAAGGCAGAACACCAACTGACCTTTTCTACTGCAGTTCCTGAACCTCACAACCATCCCGAATAACATTTGAAAAGAACAGTTTCCAATGAATATGTGAAATTCTAAAATTCTCTCCCTCACAAATATCCTTTAGAGCTCCTAGTCTGTCACATAATTCTTTATCCATGTGGGTGGCTGTTTAGCTCTGTGAGATCAGTGAATAGTGGTAGTTTTCCACCATAGTAGGGAACTTTGAGGGAAGTAAAGAAGGTGTACTCCCCTCATATTGCACTTCTGTGGGTACAGGAACATTTCACATGTCCACATGCCAACATGATCCATTGTGCAGACAACTGACCCCAACGGGTTGACGATTTGTAAGGATTTTGATTGTAGAGGCTGTACCTGGCTCTTATACTAAGGTAGCCAGATGTCTATGGGCTCCACAGGTTTGCTGGCTCACCTGGGACAGGAATGAATATTGGAGGCAGAAGAAAAAATAATAATTGCTCCTCTTTGTCATAATATGGGCTCCTCTTTGTCATAATATGTGTGTCACGGCCTTCTCCTGCTATACCCCAAAGCTCTGCAATTCTAGCCCCTGGGATATCAGAGAGTCATCTTCCCTGAGCTCTTTCAAATCTAGACTCAAAAACTTGATCAGAAGGGCTTTTACTTAATTGATGTCTGTGTCTTTGCATTTTCTACAACACTCCAAATGCAAAATAAAAATATTTTATTCTTTTATCTCTTATCACTGTTTTTCTACTCTACAATTCTTTAAGAAGCTACTGTCAAGGACTCTATATAATATAAAGTTTGTTTATTGTTATTCCTCTATACTATTCCATTATTCTTCTGAACGTGTAAAAATATATACAGACTCCACACAGTGTCCCATACCAGATTTCAAGCCAGGGCTCAGATATGGTGAGACAGCAGTGCTGACCACTACATCAGCCCATTTGTCATTTATGTTGCTGTTTTTTTTTTTATATTTTAGGAATAACTAGAACTACAAGCAGTAGTTCTAGTTATTGTCATTGTCAACGTCATTGTAATGAAATATAGTAGGGAAAAAAGATTCCAGGGAACTTGCTATGAATGTTAGTTACGAGGATGTATAAAATAGTGTGTCTCTCTGGCTCTCTAGATTTCATATTAAAGCAGTTTCTTTTTCTTTTTGCTAAGATCTTACATTAGATACGACCACCCTGTGGTTTTGTTTTTTGCTGATTTCCTTCTTCCAGCTGACTGCTTACTGCCTTCTGTCATGTTACCCACTCTTGTCTGGTTCTGTCCACACCCTGCTGTGACCCAGGACAGACTCAGGTGTCTCGCTGGGGCGTAAGCTCATGCACTGGTTCAGCTTGACAAATCACCCTGTGGCAAAGAGCCGGCATGATTATCACATGGCCAGGAACAGGTCAAGTATGACGATGGAAACGGGGAACAAGTACAGTAGCACAACCTAGATTCCTATGAAGGACCCTCACATAAATTTCTGCTCTCACAAAACATATTAAAAATCTGCTGTGTATCTGCCCTTTTGCAAAGCTTTGTGCATTTTTGTTTTGGTTGAATATAATGCAGGTGTGAGTGTGGTCAGTCACTTTCTGATTTTCCCCAAAAGAGGAGATACAGTAGCTGTAAACGACTGCTTGTACAAGTACTGCTGGTAAAACGTATTAATAGGAAATTTCTGTTTTGTGTACATTAACCATTTTTATCATTTTTATAATAAAGTGTACATAAACAGGAGTAGTACTAATCACATATACAGTACTAAGATAGGTTTGAAGAATGAAAACATTGAAGTGGGCTGTTGTGGTTTTGAAAGATTAGTAACTTTGAAGTGAATTGTTTTAATATTGCTGAAATCACAGATAGAAGACTATGTTTAAGTATGCAAAATTATGCTGGTAAATCTTTTTAATATTAGGTTTTATTAATACAACTGTAGGCTATGTCAATAAACTTCCAGCAATGTACCTTAGGTTTGTGTGAAATTATTGAATAATCCACCAAGAGACAGCTGGCAGCCAAAAATAATTACCTGCTAGCAAAAAATAATGAAGGTTTGTCTTTATGCAGCATTAAAGAACAAAGGGCATGTGGGATTATATTTACTTCTATATCAATGTACAATGTGTATATCCCACATATTGTAGCTTATTTGATAAAACTAATTTGTGCTTGTGGGTGTTGTTAGGAAATTAGAAAATTGTACAGCCTTTGGAGATATTTTCCAGTCTGTTTTTTGAAAGGGTCAATCTAGGGACTGTAAGATAATAACATAAGATTATAAGAAAGTTTACAACTGAGAGGCGTCTATTCAGTCCATCTGGCCCATTTGGTAATTAGTAGGTAATTGATCCAAGGATCTCATCCAGCAGTTTATTAAAAGAACCCGGGGTATCAGCCTCAACAGCATGGCTGGGTAGCCTGTGCCGTACTCTCACAACCTACTGGGTAAAGAACTGTCTCCTGGTCTCAGTTAAATACACTTTCCCATCATGCAGCTCTATGCAGATTATTATTAAAGTGTCAAGACACTCTTTTGATATTCCCTTGGCAATCTGTAATTTTTTCATCTTCAGTATTTCTACTTCTATAACATATGCACATCAATAAAAATAAGCATGATAGCACTAAATATTTTTAGAAAATCAGTACTGTTAGTATTTAGCTGTCCTAGAGGGATTCTTGTGCCTATTCCATTGAGTGCTGTCGTTTTTCTTGTACAGTATAAAAACCTGATGACTGCAGAGAGTGGCAGGTGCAACACAGAACGCATGTTAACACAATCCTTTTCTGCACTGATGTGCCATGCCATGCTAATTAATAGGCTAACCTGACAACCTGGTTTTGAAGTTGAATAGCCTAGCGTCCTGTACAAGTAACTTTACACTCAGAATGTGTTCAAATAAAAAGGGAAAAAACATTATTTACCAACTAAAAACGTCAGTTCATTAAACTCAGTTAGGAACACACAAGAGAAGAAGAAGTTGGAGTGCAGCTCAGTGCTTCCAATTAAATACTAACTTTCACAACTTCCCCACTAGTAATACATTCAAAGCAGGACCTTTGTGGTCTTTGAAGACAGTGAGTCTGTGTAGGCTGTCTTCACTCAATGTCATATTATCTTCTGATTTACATTAAAAGCTGTAGCCTATAGGGCTACCTGTATCAACATGGGGTTTGAATCAGATTACAGAGGTATCTCAGCCCTGAGGTGCTTGGGCCTGAGGTAAAATAATGTATTTTGAAGATCACTGCAATTGCCCCATCCTGACATTGAAATCAGGGTCATATTTTATATAACTCTAGGTCTCAAGTTTATAACGTGAGCTTGTTGCTTGGGAAGAATGTATATAAATTAAATCTGGAAGTCAGAAACCTTCCTTCCAAATTTCAAAGGAAGCCAGAAGTTTGAAAACATGAACTCCACCTCCACTATAAAGCAACCCTTAATGATGAAGCTTTTTTTGTGCCTAACATGAACCACATAATGAAAGTAATGTTAATTGGATTCAATGCATCTGGGAGCCAAGAATTAAATCAGAAGTGGAAGAATAGCAGAATGCATTTAAATGAGGATACAGCTTATTTCAACTTACTTCAACTAGTGCTGAAAAGTATACCTAATAAGGAAAATTTGACTTATGGAAATAGATTGCTGAAATGTCTGAGGGAAAAGACATTTGAACATTTTTGAATTCTCTGCAAAAATAAATTTACACTGTAAAGATATAGTTCCGAATCACACACATGCAAAGCAAAAGCCCAGCAAATGTTGTTGGTTCCAAAACTCATTTGTTGCATTTTTAATGCCTCACGATATTAATGCGTATATCCCGTTTATTAAATATATATATATATATCCTTGCATGTGGCACTGTCCTTTCATATCAGGCATTACCCATACTGTTCAGACATCATCTCTTTGTTCTTCTGTAAGATTTGGAACTTC